CACACACGCACATACACGCACACACATGTACCATTTCACAATTATTTTCTTAGGCATAATTAGTAGCTAATTAATGCAGTTGCTATTTTGAAAATAAATGTAGCCAGACGTAGAAAATGTGCAGAATATCCAAATATCGCACAGAATTTTCATCGATAATTTTGGAACAATTTGGATTCAATTTTTTCCTAGAAATGTGCAATAATCACAGCTACTTTTGAGCTGTAAAAAGGAATGTATAAGTTATAATTACAAAAATATTTATTGTTGGAAATTGAAAAATACAACAAAGTGAAATATATCAACATAGTTTTTTGTTACAAAACTCGATTACGAATTTATCAACTATACCTGAAATATTGCGCGATAATTCTGGAATATCCTGTCTATATAAGATAAAAACAATAAAAATATAAAAAAATCGACATCTTCATAAACATAATGTGTGCAAAAAATGGATTATCTGCAAAATATTCTCATGTTGATCGCTTCATCAACTGTTGTTTCTAACAATTGATGTTGTAATTAAATTAACAATTTAATAAACAAACCATTTTGTAGAAATATTTTTTGTTAATATAATTATGTTATAACAAAATTATACTGAATCTCTGTGATTGTGCTACAGCGTGTCATAAAATCATTCATCGAAAGCATATTATGCATTAGTTTTGATAATATTAGTGGTCACACACATTTAACAAATATTTAATTTTTACTATGGTTTAACTTCGGTTAAACAAAAAAATACTATTTTTGATCGAAAGGTACTACGAAGGCAAAAAAGTGCAATTTGCTACAAAAAAGATGAAATAAAGATAAAATTCTAAAATACAAATACTCTCCTATCATTACTATTATAGTATATTCCTTCCACGATCGTTGGATAATTTCGGATAATATTCCGAACTTTGGTTTTACGATCCTTCTTTCTCTTCTGTAATACCAGCTGCTTCATTCAGAGCATCGGGATCTGTGTGAAATTATTGAAAATTCACATAATCGTCCATATAAAATAATCAATTAGCAATTGATCGTCACCTGAACAAGGAGAACCTTTTATCCTACAGGTATTGTAGCTACCACAGTTTAAGCACTTCAATCCGACGATGTGAAACTTTACCGTAGATTCCTGAAATAACAGGTATCTTGCCATTAATATCTTTTAATTATTTTCCACGCCTCAGCATTTGGGATATATGTACAATATGAAGAAGTAGATTTGACCTCGTGGCAGTCTTTACATAAGATATCGGTTTTACAGTCGTTATATTCCTCCGGCATTGGTGTCAGCGACACTTCCGCGTCCAGATATTTCCACAAATCCGTCATGTCTAAGAGTGACACCTGACAAGACGGGCAAGCGTAATGTCCCGAGTTCAATAATTCCTCAAAACACATACGGTGAAGCAGATGTCCACAATCGGGAATGTGACATGGTATACGACTCGTGTGAATGTCTTCCAGACACACGGGACAATTGGAATGCGATACATTTTCTATGCACTGTAAAACAAAATTTATTTTAATAACGTTTATATAATAACTGCAAACTGCATATAATAATAGCGCTCAATTATTCTGTGTATTTTGAATAGAATATATACAATACTTTTATCACGCAAACATGCATTTTGCGTTATATATATTCTTACTGTATGCCCATTTTGTAACTGGATGGGCAAGCACATGTTGCATTTAGCACAGTGAAAGAATTTGTCACGACCACCGACTCTACATATTCCGCATCCGTCGCAATGATACTGATTCTTATCCTCGTCATCAAAAAGATTGCATTCTAGGCATGTATATTTGCCAAATTGACAATGACAATTTTGACAAGTAGCTTGAACAGATTGACGAGTATCACAAAGAACGCATATTAATTCTGTAACTTCTTTCCTATTCACTGTGTGTGCCTCCTGCTCGTCGTGACAAAACCGACAGGTATACACCTTATTGCAGCATGGAGTCTGTAATAGATTAAATATGGAAAGAAAATCAATTCATTGAGAAACAAAATATACACTTTTTATTATTATTACATTCATTATTTATATAAGAATTTATATATATAAAAGGAAATAAAAAGATAAGATTCTCAAGATTAGTTGTTAATAGTCATAAATCAAAATAGACATTACTCGACATTTAAATTCTATTTAAGTGGTATTTAAATTAGAATATTCTTTTCTTAAAAAACCTATAATAAAATGTTTTATATCCTATTTTACAATAAAAATCAATTTTAGACTTTTTAATAGCAAATTCAGTCACTTGCATTATATTAGATTAGTGTATACTAAAGAAGGTTGTTATACATGAAATTAATAAAATTATAATATAAAAGTATATATATATATATATATATATATATATAAATATTTTAAACGAATTCTCAATATTGATTACATTATTTAACATGTATATATAAATGTATTATTTCATTGTCAAAGTTGATTATTATTATTTATTATCACTATATTTAGATACTTTATATAGAGCAGTCTTTTTGATATATATTAATCTATTACAATGCAAGTGATACAAATTCATATGACTATTTCTTGAACATTTTTTAAGTTAAATTATTAGATTTTTTGCAAAGTTAGATATAAGAATATGTAAATATTTTAAACAATTAAGACATCCAATAATATTATTACATGATTTAACAGAATATACATGTGTTATGTTTCATTGTCAAAGTTAATTATAACACAGCATTTAGATATTTTATATGAAGTGCCTTTTTTAAAGCTGTACTAATCCAGGATAATGCGTAAAGTAAAATTCAATATACTACTTCTTTAACATTTAACAAGAGCTAAATTATTAGATTTTATAAATAAACATCCGATAATCCACTTGAAGATGTCACAAAACATCAGATCATCCTCGAACTTACCACGAATTTGGATTTTCGCTTGTAGTGTTCGCAGCCGTAATTATTGTTTGAAACGGCCAGCGTCTCCTTCCCCGAGGTGGATGGGAGATACATGGTCCAAACACAGTCTCCCTTTTTCGATACGGATTTCCGCGTATCCTTGCGATCCCTATCATCGCGATCCGTGCTGGTAACGTCAGCGACTTGTTCGGTGTCGCGATTCGGATCCTCGTCGTCGACAGTGGGTTTCACGACGGTACCCTCGCCACAATCCGGATCGTCACTCTCGTGATCCGCGGATGTCTCTTCAGCGCCGTCGTGACTCGGCGCCTCATCGTCGCGATCTCCGACGGCTTCCTCGGCGACGCCGTCGCTATTCGACGCCTCGTCGTCGCGATCCGTGGCGGTGTGCGTCTTCTCGCTGTCGTTGTTCTGCATACCGACGTGCCTGATTCTGCTATCCTTTCCCGTCGTTCGGTCTCATCGACCCAAGACGCGACCTTTCCGTCGATTAATGCCGGTGCATCTCGCACCTCTCGTCCTTGTCCTCGTCGTCTCCGTTCTTGTTCTTTTGTCGATCAACTCAAATAACACGAGAATCAAAGAGAATACCGTGTACACTGTATCTCGGAAAACACGCGACGAGAATATTCGGCTCGATTCGACTTCCGGGCTAGTTAAAGGTCGGCGCGCGGGAAGCGTCGGAAAGATTCTAAGAAAACGAGGTCGATCCGCGATGACTTTGTCGTGAGTCGCGAGGAATGATCCGTAGACTTGTGTGAAGTAAGCTTGCACTCATCACACTCCATGTACACATATAGAGTGCAGTTTTCTTTGCTGACTGGCGTTTGTTCACGTTTACTCACTCTACTGTTGCAACATCTCACGAAACGGGTGACACGGCGACGTCAATCAATGGTCAATTCCAGAGCCATGAGAGACCACCAATCCTCGCTCATACGAGTGCATGTTGTATATTCAACGACGTCGTGTGACTTTGTGTGTCTAGGGATATAGTCAACGTCGATGTTGCAAACGTTTTTTTAATTGGTCAGTTTGCAAAATTCTTTCTTCTAATTGGTCCAGCAAACGCTTCAAAGCATTTGTAGCGAGACTTTGACCATAGCTTAGGTACAACTCGTGCATCGTGATTAACTGATTATTGGAATTAATATTATTTTCCCGGGAAATTAAAATCGCTGGGAAAGAACCTCTATCTTCCCCGGTGATTTTTTTTGAAATTTTTTCAAATAACAAAAGATATGAAAAAAAGATAGGATATTAAATTATTATTTAAATTATTACATTGGAAAAGTATTATTTAAATATAGAACTTATAAAACGTTTTATTTAAAATTATATTAACAAAAGAAAAATATAATAGAATCTATATAGATTGTATCAATCGATTATTTAGCACAAATACTTGTACGAATTTATTAATGACGGGTTTTTCCCCTCACGAATGATAGATATTCTATTACATTTTTTGTATGATAAACTGATATTTCTTTCAATATTTTTCACTCTTATTTTTCTTGTTAATCGAAGTGTCACACAATTGCGAGACATGATGCATAAATAAATAAAATTTGTATCTGGAAATATTCGATAGCAGATGAATCAAATGCGCTGCAGAGTGCAGACATTGACAGTCACACAAGTCTTCTTACGTATTATAGCTGTGATTTTTTTATAGAATGTTTTATTTGAGAAAAAACAATTGCATTTCATTTAGAAATTTGATTTAAAGGGAGCGAAAATAGAAAGTGAAGCAAAAAGATAAGCATAATGATACAGTTAAAAGGAGCGATCTCGCATTTCGCACGTGTTTCTGTTTGTTAAACATAACCTTAGTTATCTCTAAAGCGCCTTTTTAAAAACTTTATAAAAATTAATTATTTTATCGTTGTTTCTGTTATTTTTTCAGTAACACTTCTATAAGACGCACTAAATACATCATTATTCTACAGATGATTTAGCATGAGTTTATTTTATTTCGACAAAGTTGTTTCTTATTTTATACAATAATAATAAATATTTACATATAAATATGTATTTATATAATAAAATATTGTAAAGTTCTATTTGTTAATCACTTAATATTGTGCTAACTGCTGATTATTGTATTAAGATTATTTATTTTGTTGGACTATTGAAATGACAGTAATACTAGGAGGTGGCATATCAGGACTGTCAGCAGCATATTATGCTGTTAAGGATGCAAGACTTTCGTCTATCATTTTACTGGAGGCTTCTAGTCGCTTGGGTGGGTGGATACGTAGCAGAAGCTCACCAAGTGGAGCGATTTTCGAACAAGGGCCAAGAACTATAAGAGCATTTGGTTTACCTGGAAAAAACACCCTTAATTTGGTAGAGGATCTACAATTAAATGATAAATTAATTCATGCCGATCTGAATCATTCTGTGGCAAAGAATCGATTGATTTACATGGATAAGGCATTGCATGTTCTACCAAATACCTTAAAAGGTATCTTCAAGACAGTCTCGTTGCTAGATCGTCCCTTGATAAATCGCATATGGACGGATTTGAGGGCTCCTAAAGTATCTAAGGAGGATGAAAGCATTCACAGCTTCGTTCAGAGGAGATTGGGTCAGGATATTGCAGATAATTGCATCAGCCCTATGATCTGTGGGATCTGTGCGGGAGACGCACGTGAGATAAGCGTCAATTTTCTACTCAAATCACTGTTTGAGGCGGAACAGAAACATGGCTCTATAGTGAAAGGCTTGGTAGTAAAACAATTGAAAAAGTTTTTTTCAAAATCGAAAGATAAGGATAATACAGCGAAGAATAACGCGGACATAAAGCTTGCAGTAAGATCATCGACCTTGGCGAAGAGAGCGCAAAACGAACATTGGATGGCATGGGGCTTACAAGGAGGACTTGAGCAATTACCTTTGACTCTAGCTGATTATGTAAAGAGTCGAGGAGTGATGGTACAGACCGAGAAAAAGTGTGAAAAACTTACATTTAAATCAGATCGCATAGAACTGTCAGTTAATGGCGATCTTCAGGAATGTTCGCGCGTTATTTCAAGCTTATGTGCAAAGGACTTGGCTGAGCTGTTGCAAGAACAACATCCTAGACTGTCGGCGGAATTGAAAGCAATACCTACCGTGACGGTCGGAGTAGTTAATCTTGAATTCCAGGGAGATGTATTACCTTTGCAAGCATTCGGCTTCCTCGTTCCACCAAAAGAAAATCTACCTCTGCTAGGTGTAATCTTTGACTCTTGCGTATTCCCTGGATCTTCCACAGTATGCATATCTCCAAACAATTTTACTGTTTGCTCATTTCTATGGCTGTTAATTTTTTAGTTAATTCACTCACAGTAAGATTCAATTTTCATTTCTAATATAACTTTTATTTTTATGTATATACAACACTGTGAGAATTATAAATTATGCAACATGTAAAAAAAATATTTTTCAATGATAATAAATTAACATATAAAATATGACTATGATTTAGGTATTGACGGTGATGATGGGAGGTGCGTGGTTCGAGAAATATTTTGGGCCAAATCCATCGAAAGAACAATTGTTAACGACGGCGATTAGTCACACCAAGAATATCTTACAAATCGAAGAGGAACCAATCGCATACAACGTTGCCGTTCTCAAGGATTGTATTCCGCAGCACGTCGTGGGTCATAATGCCCGTGTAAAACGCATCCACGATTATATTTCCGCGCACCATATTCCTCTGGCATTGTGCGGTTCTTCTTATCAAGGTGTGGGACTCAATGATGTTATTCTGTCAGCAAAACAGGCCGTTCGTGATGTTGTAAAATAACTGCAGAATCGCTTGATTCGAAAATGGTAGCTAATAACGGCACACATAAAAAATAAATAAAGAAAATCTACATGCAAACACTGTACATGCTGAATCATACCAAACCATGCAAAAAAATCATGTTACAAAGTTAAAATAAAAATATAATCTTTGAATGAAACATAGTCCGTAATTTAAATGATAATATAATAATAGTATAATAGTATTAATAATAGTATAATAATTATTTTGTTGTGCAAAAATGAAAATACGAAAATATATTTTACGAAGAGTTGTATTTGTATTAAACGTACAGTGTATATTATTCTGTGAAATATAATGTAACTTTATTGAAGGTATTAATGTACAAATAAAGCATATATATATATAAAATTATAAATATATATGTATAAAATTTTCCGAAGAGTTAACAAAAAAACTTGTTTTGCTGTTGTATGATATAAAAAAGGCATTTCTCAAAAATGATATTTTCTCCTTTTCATTATGTTCTTATCAATTAACATATTTTGCAGTAGTGTAAAATTATTTTAATATTTTATTATTTATTTATTAAAAAATATTTTATCTACTGCTTTTTTTTGTATAGTTGAGCAGTTTATATTTAGGAACATAAAAAAATTTGGCTATTTATCTGTAACAAAAGATAGTAATAAAGTGTCTATCTGCAAACAATTATATAATGTTATTGCAAACTAAAGCGACGTTATCCCAGCAATAAATGTAATTAATCAAAAACAATTGCTTTGCTCGAGATGTATATGCGGAGCAATTATGTAACCAAACAGACTGCATTAATACTACTTGCAAATTGAACATGCTGATTTGAAAGATTAATTAAATAAATTTAATTAATTAAACAAATGATTCAAGTAGATTAATACAAACTTATATGCATTCAAATTTTACATTCTCTCTCGTTGATGGATATAACATTACAATCATATGTTAATCTTTGACAGTACCTGCATATTTAACCTCGTCAAAAGCCTTTCTTGCTTTCTTAAGTTCCTCGTTCATTGTTAAAAGATCTTTCACCCTGGCATATTTCCTGGAATCCTTTCTTACTGCAAGTAAGAAACATAAACTATAAACAAATTAATAAATTATAAACTGGAAAAAATAATATATTAAAAATATCTCTTCTATAAGAAACAGAAAGCTTAGAATTTATTTATTTTACATATTTATTTAAATATTTAGGTATCTCCTTTTATAATAAGGTGAATTCTCAAGATATCCAAAAAAGTCGGATTGAATCCAACTCTGGATGTTACTTTGTTCATATTTCATCTAATCAATATAACAAAATAGATAAAAAGAAGTTTTTAAAAGAATAATATATATTATGAAACTTCTTTTGTTAAAGTGCATGGATTCTGTAAAGTAGACAAAGCTGGAGATTACATCCGACTCTCTTTACCACCAGAAGAATTAAGAATATTTTTTAATATGAATTAAATATAAAATTCTCTTACCTAAAAATACAATATCTTCTACTTGAACTCGTCCTGTGCGTCCAATCTCCATGGCTCGATGTGTCATCTCTGTTATGAATTCGATAACCAAATCCTCCAACAAGTCAACGCTTTCTGTATAAGGATTCTGGTCGTCGCCGAAACCATACATCATGCAGCGCAGTTCCTTGGAGAAGAGCCGTTTTCTTCCTCCAGGCAAAGTCCCACCAATTGGAATTTCTGCCTCTTCATCCTCAAACTGTCAACATAACCAGTATAAGTATATAGCGAGAAAAATATAAAAATATAATAAATAATTGATTTCCAATTATTTACAAAAACTTATTATTATATTATATAAAATTATAAAGTATTCCCTGAATGGACTTTTTTTTAGAAAAATATATTTACTTCTTTTAATTAATCATCTATAAACTATATTTAGAAAAATATATAATGTAAATTAATTTTATTTTATAATGTTAATTAGTGTTTTCACAGGAAATTCACAATGTATTCGGTTTTATTTATATTACAAATTTATAATGTATATAATATTATTTATATTCATAAATATAATAATGAAACTTAAATTTATGTAAGAAAAATAATAAAAGTAAACACCTGTTCAAAATTTTCTTCTGCAGACATCGTTTTGTAGGTTATTTGTAGGTTATTTAAGTTTAAAATTTTCCAATAATTTTGCTTGTCTTTGTATTTTTCTTTTACATCTTAGCCAACCACATAATTATTTTTAATAATTGTTTCCTATCCTTAAATACATAAATAAATATTATTTTATCAATCGATTTCACAATTTATCACATCAGACAGAAACCTGAGAGAGCTGAGAGAGGATATGAGAGCTTTTTCCTATAACCGCAAAATATCCCGCGCACTACTGGCCTCTGAAGAAATGGATGTAAACTATATAATTTAAATATACAATTTACTGCAATATCCATTTTTTTCTGCCTCTGATAGAAATAAATTATTGAAATTTCTATTATAGCGAATTCGGCAGACTACACTAATGCGATTTATTTCCATCAAAAGCACTGCAAAAAAGTGGATATTGCAGTAAATTGTACATTTAAATTCACAATGCAATATATATTAGGTGTAGTAAAAAGAAATCCATTATTTTTGCATGAAATTGAATGGAAAAATAATGGATTTCTTTTTACTACACCTAATACAATGCGAGATTTATTGAATTATAAGTACTATGTATTAAAAATATGATATTAATTGAAATAAAACAGTGATTTGTAATTCCTGTATTCTATATATACAGTGAGAGCAAAAAGTATACAAGGAAATTTATTTAAAAAATCTTATTTATAGAAAATAAACATTAATTAACAATTTTATACAATGAATACATTCCGTTCTAACATAAAACAAACGAGCTTCGCATGTATTCCTGATTTTAGAAACTAAATTTTTTGACTGTGCGAATAATGCTTTTTAAGCATCCAAACAATATAATTTTTAATTTTTGTTTATTTTTCAGATGATATATCTTCTATAATTAATACATATCTTTTTGGTATAATTTTAAGAAACATTTTTTAAGAAATAAGTTTTTATTCTTTACGAATAAATTGTTAATTACCTAACAAGAAATGATTGTTAATTAAACGTTGAAACAATATGAAATTGGTATTGAAATCATCGTATCGATAATAACAAATCTAAGAAATAAAGCAAAAACCGTGCAATAAAGACCTCTACTATTACTATTAATTATATATACACCAGAGAATATTAATATTTTTCGCTAAAACTGTATTAATTTAACGCAAATTGTTTCGCGATATTAAGAAAATTTGTACGTATCTTATATAAATTTATATATGGAATATTAATCTTTATTTAGATATGAGAGAAACATTGAAAAGAATAATGATATAATGTAAAGAAAATTGATATAATGTTGGAATGTCAAAAATATTCCGTGCGAATAATTATTAATTATGTTTAAAAAACTATGCAAGTAAAATATGATTGAACAAGTGCCAGAGATGCCACAAAGCAAAGCGCGAAATGTACGATGATATACGTTTGTCAAAATGTAAAATATGAATAATTGGATAAATCGTGAATATTTTTTATATGCAATAGTTACGTATCTAAATGGCGCGTGGCGAAACAAAGGAGGTTGACTACGTCATCACTTCAGCATTCGCTCGGTGAATTCGGAGGGAGATGGACGTGTTTTACGAGCTCTAGGTATCATATTAATTAATGAAAATTAAATATCGACGAACACGAATTACGTAAAGTTTTTCCTGTAATTAAGGAGTTTATTTATATATATATTAATACTAGCAAAAATCTATATAGAAATATATATATATATATATATATATACAGAGATT